TCTCTACACTCACAGGACCGATTGTCAATTTTCTAATGATCAGTTTCCATGATGAGTCGGATGTATCCAGCAGCATCGTTTACTTCTGCCTGTCCTGCAGCTTCATCCAACCCACCATCTGCTGCTTCATCTCAGCCTCTCAATGTGAAACTGAAGCGTCTCCATGGCAACAGCATCAACGCACAGGCAGGTAGCAAAGGAACGATCTCCATCAGGTTCACACTCTCATTCTTAGCTGCTCAGATTATCTTTGGTTACCTAATTGTATCGTGCTTTTATGCTTTCATAATCATTATGATGCTCATTTTTGTTTTTGTTTGTTTTTCAACAACAAGGGGGAGGGTTAAGCATTTGTTCATTTCTTTAGGCGCCTGGCTCAACAGAGACCATTCTCACCAGCAGCAGCACTTTTCAAACATAAACTGGTCATAATGTTAAATTAAAACTTAACAAGACCCAACAAAATATTTTCAAGCAGCTTAATTTCCCAAGACTCTAGCCAGTTGAATCAATTTTTTTATTTTGCAGTCTTCAGTCACAAAACATTAACTTAATGTCTGTGTGAGCATTTTTCCGTATTTTAAACATTTGTTCCTTGTTTGTTTCGTTACACTTTTGCAGATTTTGAGTAAAAAGGCGGTGTTTCTGAAAGGTAGAAGTGAATTTCTGAGGGTCTGAAATCACTAAAAACTCAACAGATTTTATATAAAGCAGCCTTGTTTGTTTCCTCTTGTCTATGAAAACCTCTTCTTTAGGATTCTGTTAGTCCCAGAACCGGGTCGGAATTCTCCACCTCTTTCTTCACTTTGTGATGCATTCACTAAAGCTCAGAAATCTGATGATCATTGGTTGATTTTGTTTAGATTCAGCCCAGAGCTACACTTGGGTTTTAAAAAAAACATTACTAACCTGCTTTGTTCATTAAAATTTGTCTCAATAATATAATTTAGATATATTCTTGACACAATGTGGACAAAATTTCTGGAGTAAAAGATGAGATCAACAGTTTTATCCTGATGAATTTGTTCTTAAATGGTTTAATCAGAGTATTTTTGTTTTATTTCTTCAAATGGGTTGAGTGTTATTTAAGTTATTCCAGCAGACATACTGTGATTCCCTCAGTGTAAACTTTACAGTTTAAAGTTGTCTTTGACAAATGAAAATAAATAAAGCCCAAACAGTTTTTATTATAAATTGTTTTCTGATTAAATTTAAAAAAACTTTTGTTTTGAGGTTTTTTTTACCTTAAGAGTTTTAAACTTCTTTAATAATCTGAGATTTTTGGTATTTATTGTTTTCTATTCTTTAGATGTGTTTTATTTATTTAGTGACACTCTGAACTGATTTGGTCCACATAACCTGCTGGTTTCATCCTGCTGGGTCATAGGTCAACAAGTCTTAATTAATCTTAACTCATTTTGACCACTAGTGGGACATAATTCATTTATGCATTTAGATTTTGGAGTTTGACCCAAACTTGAAGGATAATGACTTTTTAACACTTACATTTTTAGCTAATTTGTATGTGTGGATTTAATATTCTGTATTATTGTGAGCAAATAGGCTGGTGTTTATGTACAATTTAACTTCTTTAGCTTCTGGCTCGTTATTATTGTTTAAACAGAACAAAAAGTTATTATTGACTCAGGTTTCTGGTAGCTTTGCCTCCTGAAACAACCCAGGTTGGCTCGATGTCTAACCTAGTGTGTGCTGTTGCTCAGATTGAAATGGACCCTCAAAAGTGTGAGATCCGATCCGAGTGAGTTCTGGTTGAGGCTGTTATTTTCATTCACAGAATAATTCCGAGACAAAGTCCGTGAACAGTTTTATGACTCCAGGAGCTTAACGAGGTTTTCACGTTCATTTCCCTCAAAGCTCAATTCAAACGAAGCTTCCTGAAGCATCCGCTGAAACACTCAGTCCGGTTCTGCTGGTGAGACAGAAGTTCCGATGATTCGAGACCCACCGAGTGGCCGGGTTTACCGGAGGCCGCACTAGGCCGAGACAGCGGTTGAAGGAGGAGCGGGACATCGTGGGAAGACACCAGCAGCTTCGGCCGTATCGGTTTCATCCTCCGCGGTGTTCGGGTTCTGAAGCGGATCTGATCAGCAACAGGAGGAAACGCAGATCCACATTCCGTAAAAATAATATCTTAAATATGTTGTTTAATTTAGAGTTTATTTAGAGTTAGACAGAATTGTTGTTAACCCTGAGGGATCCGCGGTGACATGTGTCTCTGTCATTTCAAGCATCTGCTAAACTGCTGCTTGAGCCATCATATATTCAAGTTTGAAAACCCCAAGTGACAATTATTGTACTTCTTTATTTAATTTAAATTTTCTGAATGTGGATGTTTTTCTGCTTTCTATTTTAAAAGGGCTTGGGCTCAAAGAAAAAATCATATATTCAATGTGTGTGTGCAGGATATTTGTTATTCTTATTGAAACGGTGACGAGTCTGCTCATAAAAAATGTGTATTTCAAGTTATTCTTAGTAGTAGTAGTAGTAGTAGTAGTAGTAGTAGTAGTAGTTTGAGTAGTAGTATTGTTATTATATTATTATTATTATTATTATTATTATTATATTATTATTAATAATAATAATAATAATAATAATAATAATAATAATAGTAATAATAATAGTAATAATAATAATATAAACAAATTTGATGTTAATTATTTTCTTTTGAAAACTAGAAACACAGATAATAAAAACAGCAAATGAATCCCTGTGGGATTTTTTTTTTATTATTCTCATGATACATTTACATATTTTTTTGATATTGTTGTTTTTGTTATTTAGTTTAAAGGGTCGTAAATATTTCGGGTTTTATATAAACAAAATTCTAATTCTAATCAAAGAGTATTTTTTTATTTTCCAAATTGCTTGATTTGTATTTCTACAATCTTTTTTGTTCTTGTTAAAAAAAATTAATAAATGATTTTTTTTGTGAAAATAACCAGCAAAAATATTCCAAGTCAGGAAACAGAAAAAAAAATTCATTAGGTGTGAATATTTGTAAAAAAAAAAAAAAAATAACAGAATTTAAATTTTTTGTGTTTATTTTTTTTCCAAACTGAGTACAGGAAGTACAAAGCTTCTGTCTTTCTTTCTTCTTAGAGGAGACAAATTGTATAGTTAGTGCATTCAATCCTAAAAACATGAAAAAAATAGATCTAAGAAGAAGGAAAAAGTGCTACATAAGGAGGTGATGAGGTAAATATGTCCAGAGGGAAGAAACAAACTGATGAAATGATGAGAAACAAACAATCCACGCATCATTATTATTATTAATATCATCATTATTTACACATCAGATGCATAGAATACTTTTCAAATCCAGTTTTTACATAAATAACTACATTCCCCCAAAAAAGACAATAAAACAACAACAAAAACTGACCTGGAATCAGCTGGTTTCTGAGTCCACTGCTGCATTTTTTAATATCCTAATTATTAATTTTTTCTACTGTTTCTCTCATGAAAAACATAAATGCTGCTGCCACTGACAGAATCAACCTGCTGCTAAAATATTCCTCAGGAAATTATCTTCTTGTTTTAATTACGAAACAATTCCTCAGCAGGAATCAGAGCCCAGATGCATAAAGGGTTTGCCGGTTTGCATTTTGGTGGTAAAGAAATAAAAAATATTAAATTGTTTTGTTTTAAACTTGTTGCCTCAGTTTGTGAAACATCATCATTCGCTGGTGTTTCCAGGTGAGTGAACCAGATCAGGTTGGGACCCGCCAAGATAAAATAACACATCATTTCCCGCCAAAATAAAGCTAACACTCCATTTCCTGCCATCTATCATGCTCAGTTAGAAGTTTCACAAAGGAAATTTTGTGGAAATTATGACAGAATAGAAAACAAAAGTCCATCAGGTGGTTTGGATTAAATGAAAAAGTGTTCCGGTATCATCTTGTACTTTTGGGAACCTTTGGCTAAAGAATGACAAAATGAAACAAGAGGGTGATGGAGAAAAACTAAATTTGAACCCCACGGAGAAGAGACAAATGTCCCGGTGCAGGATCTTTGCTCAGGTTCTTGTTCACATTAAATTCAACCTTTGTTCATTTAGACCAAACCAGGTGAAGGAAGCAAGCCCTTTTTCCTGTTTCCATGATGTCTGATAAAATGATTTCTTTAGCTTTAACATAACTGAAAAATGGACAAAAACATTTTTAATGGAGACTTTTACACATTTCTTAAGAAAGAATCTTTTAGAGTTCATGTTTCAGATCAAAACTTCTTGGTGGACATGGTGGCTCTCTGAGGAGGAAATCGTGTCTCTCATTCCCATCCTATCGTCTTCTCCTGCAGATTTTGGGGCGACTCAGAAACCTTCAGATCATCTGTTTTAATCAGAACGCTGCTTTGTTTGATGCCAGAGTTCCAGATGTTCTGAAGCCAACAGCTGATCAGATCTCAGAAGCATCAAATCCTCATCAGTCTGACAGGAAAATCCTTAAAGGTAAAAAAAATCCTCCGTCCTGATGTGTTTGTAGTCTGTAGCATGAAGTGTCTTCTCTCCTCCATCAGTCAGAAATCTGAGCTGTCAACGTGTGTGTGTGTGTGTGTGTGTGTGTGTGTGTGTGTGTGTGTGTGTGTGTGTGTGTGTGTGTGTGTGTGTGTGTGTGTGTGTGTGTGTGTGTGTGTGTGTGTGTGTGTGTGTGTCTGAGCTGTCAACGTGTGTGTGTGTGTGTGTGTGTGTGTGTGTGTGTGTGTGTGTGTGTGTGTGTGTGTGTGTGTGTGTGTGTGTGTGTGTGTCTGAGCTGTCAACGTGTGTGTGTGTGTGTGTGTGTGTGTGTGTGTGTGTGTGTGTGTGTGTGTGTGTGTGTGTGTGTGTGTGTGTGTCTGAGCTGTCAACGTGTGTGTGTGTGTGTGTGTGTGTGTGTGTGTGTGTGTGTGTGTGTGTGTGTGTGTGTGTGTGTGTGTGTGTGTGTGTGTGTGTGTGTGTGTGTGTGTGTGTGTGTGTGTGTGTGTGTGTGTGTGTGTGGGACAGCTCTAGTCGTCGCTGATGACGTCCACGTCCTCGCCTCCAGGCTGCTGCGTCGCAGCTCTCCAGCGGCTGACATGTTGGCTTCCCTTCCTCTTCTGCTGAGCTTCTGGAGATTCTTCCTCCAACTTCTGACGCTTGTGCTTCGTTCTGCGGTTCTGAAACCAGACCTTCACCTGCACACACACATGAATTTTCATCATGACTTTTGAATTTGAAACTATAACTTCATCATCTAAAAAGTGTATATAAGAGTTTAAAACACCAAACCCTTAAATTATTATTACTTTAATAGTTTGAGAGTACCTTATTGTAACTCAAATTTCCCCAATAAAAGCGTAGTTTCTCATTTTTAAAATGTGTTTACTTGGACATTAAAAAGTTAAACAGCTTTTCCATCAACTGGATCTGGACTCAAAATGTCCAGAAGGCCCGTCTGTTACTGAAAAGTCAATTAAGATTAAATTAATCCTGCAGGAGACGTTTCCTTCAGGTGAAGGAAGATGTTTCTGAATATTTAGACAAGTTTGCTTACAGCAAAATGAAAAGTTCTGATCCTAGAGTGGTTTGGGTCAAGAGAACTAAAGTTTAGAACAGCGACATTGTCATAAACTAACGATGAGGAGCTTCATGGAAACCTTTAAGCTGCTGCTGGCAACACAAGCCGCTGCCGCTGAGCCTGCCGATGATTTCAAACCTGAACGCTGTCAGAACTCGCCACGCCGGCTACCAGATACACAGCTCTAAACCTGGATCCAGATCAACATGATGGATCCTCTAGTCTGGTTCTCAGACCCAAGAGAGTACTGGGAACAAAACAGAACCTTTACTAACCTTTACTTCCAAATCCTAAATGGTTTAATACAAAAACAATAAAGTTTACATGATTTATAAAAAATGTAACTGATCCTAAAACCCAGACTTAGTCTGATAACTGCCATTATATCGTTTAGTTAGCTTAGGGCTTTCATCAGACCATAAAAAAGCATTAAAGTTATTAAAATCAGTTTTTTAATTCCTAACACACACCTAAATACCACCATCTGTTTTATAAACACTCTTTAAAACAACAGTCGTTGCTTGTGAACGCTCTTTATCAATCTCAGATCAGATGTCAAACATGGCTGGAGTTACACACAACCGGAGTTCATCAGCACCAGCTGGTGATGTTCAAAGGGCCGACCGTGTTTGTAAACAATGTGTTAAACGGTGTTTATTAATCCAGAAGAAAACAACAAACAAAGACAGCTCTGTACATGGTTCTGACCCACTTTAACTACATAACTGGCTCATGCTCTTCCTGCTAAAAGGATTAGTTCACATTGAAGAGAAGAAATGTGTGTTAAATTAATCAGAGTACAAGGTTTTCTATTTTTTTCATTGGTTGTTGATCTCCTGGAGCCTGCCTCCAGCTGTTGATAAAAACATTTTTCTCCACTCTAAGTAAAGAGCAGGTGCCACATTAAGACACCAGTTGGTATAAACCCATAGAAAATGGGTCAACAGTAGAGATTAGGAGCTGAGGGCTGCTGTATGGATGGAACACAACTACAACTTTAAGGTTGAAAACAAAGAAAAGCTTTAATCGGGGTCTGGAGGAGGAGCTAAGGAAACCAAAAAATGTGTCAGCAGGCGTAAAAGATTCATTTTGGTGTTACAGTTAGCACGTTTAGTATAAGACCAAACAAAACTTTAGCTTTTGTTAGAAGATGAGTGTCAGACTCCAGCTGTGCTGCACCATAGCCCTCGTCCTCTCACCGATGACAAAGCTCCAAGTGGTTCTGCAGAAACCAACTCTTGAACAAAGAGGGTTTAAATCGTTCCTCCATAGATCTAATAATTCTGTACTGGATATTTAGGAGCAGCTTTCTCCCCCTCTGATGCAGTAAATAACAAACTAAAATGATATGAATAAAAACCTAAAACAAATAAATACTCGGTCAGAGGTTCTCTGCAGAGATACAGTATATGGGGGCGTGTCGAGGGGTCTCTTGTAGTCTTTCAGCCCTGATGGGATCTTCTGCAGTGGGGACTTGTGTTTAATGAGGCAGATTTGGAGAGATGATCTGTCACACATCTTTCCAACCTTTATTAGTGATTTACAGGTGATTTATGGATGATTTATGGGTGAATAATCTCCAACGCTGGCAGCTGGCTGACGGATCTCGGCTCTTCCTGTCTAATGTTGTGAAATGAGCTCATAAAACATGATTCACGACATCTCGCTGGCGTCAGGACTCATATCTCTGTGGCTACCTGATGACAAGTATGGAGGAACGCTCCTGAGAAAAGGAGGAGGCCGCTGACTCAACGCTGACTCAGCATTCCTCAAACTTAAAGTTGATGTCACATTGGTTTGATTCGGACTGGAAAGTCATTGAGCAAGGCAGCAGCACTGCAGGTTCTAAGCCTGTAGATTTTTGTTCTCTTTGTTTTATTTCTTTAGGATCTTTTTTTGTCTGAAAACATAATTTATCATCCTAAATATTTGAAAGTCGTTCAGAAAGTCTAGACAACTCCTAATCCTAATCCTCTACAACAGATTACAGGAAGTCTGGATAGAAATAAATCAGAACTGCATCTGGAGTTCTGGATAGTACGGTCTACTTTATGAACCCCGCCTTCATCTTCCCATCATGACTTGCTCCTCCCATGGCGCCTACCTGTGTCTCTGTCAGGCACAGCCCGCTGGCCAGCTGCTTCCTCTCGGCTCCGACAACGTAGTGGTTCTTCTCAAAGGCCCGTTCCAGTCGAAGAAGCTGGGAGGGTGAGAACGCTGTCCGGATCCGTTTGGGTTTCCTGGAGAATGGACCATGAAGCAGCAGGTTCTCTGGACTGCTGTCTTCACCTGACGAAGGGGAAGGAATTTATAACAATAATAAGTAAAAACCTGAGTGGGAAGCTGGGAGAAAAACTGGAACCAAAAAATGTCCAAAAGGTCTGAAAATCAAACCTCACTCTGACCTCCTAGTAGAACCAGAACCAGCCGCTTGGTTGGTCACAATGACATCATGATGACATATGTATATCACTGCACAGCTGTCTGATACGTGACCTTGTGTGTTTTTGTTTTAACATCAGTGCTGCTGTTTCCTCTGGGAATGGTAAATGGTAAATGGCCTGTATTTGATATAGTGCCTTCTAGAGTCCTGGAACCCCCCAAGGCGCTTTACAACACAATCAGTCATTCACCCCATTCACACACACATTCACACACTGGTGGGGATGAGCTACAATGTAGCCACAGCTGCCCTGGGGCGCACTGACAGAGGCAAGGCTGCCGAGCACTGGCGCCACCGGTCCCTCCGACCACCACCAGCAGGTAATGTGGGTTAAGTGTCTTGCCCGAGGACACAACGACAGCGACAGACTGAGAGGGGCTCGAACCTGCAACCTTCCGGTTACGGGGCGAGCACTTAACTCCTGTGCCACCGTGGGAACCCAAGCAGGCTCTGATGTTTAACCACAATAAACATCTTTAATGAATGAAGTCATCTGTGGTTCAGAACATGCTTAGAACATGTTTGGAACACAAGTTAAAAACACGCCAAGAGAATGTTCAGAGCATGTTTCTAAACCACTGGATTCCAGGTGTGTGTGTGTGTGTGTGTGCGCGCGTGCGTGTGTGTGTGTGTGTGTGTGTGTGTGTGTGTGTGTGTGTGTGTGTGTGTGTGTGTGTGTGTGTGTGTGTGATATTTGCATCTGAACCCGCCATCATTCACAGCTGAGATGAAACACTCGTCTAGAGACGTTCAGCTGTTCTCCTGTCTGGTTTGTATTAAAACGGTTTACAGATCGACGGGTCCCTGATTCATTCACTCTGCCTGAAGCATCTACATTTGTTTCATTTTAAATGAAAAACACATTAAGTTATACAAAATAAGCTCTTAATACTGAAAACTTTCTACTAAAATGTCATTTTCCTGTTTGTATTTTTTCACTTTAATCGACTTTTATAAAATGTTTTTTCAAATACAAAAACTTTATTCACCTGCTCATTATTCATAAAGACACAAGAGAGAAAAAACGTGTGGCCTGATTAAGAAAACCTTTAAAACGTTATTTCCTCTTGTTTTCAGGCTTTTAGCTTATTATTTCATCATTTCTGTTTGATTTGTAACTAAACTAAAGTTCAGGCATCATCTGCAAAGGGAGAGGAGTTTCAGTAAAGGAATTGAAATTAGTTAAAAAGTTGGAAAATCTAAAACGCAAAAACTCTAATCGCAACATAAAAGGAAATAAGCTGCCAGACGACATCAAGCGTTCAGCTTCTAGAGTCAAACTGCTCAGGTAAATGATGGCTTCCGCCATTCTGCCTGCTTCAACTGAGAAGACAGGTTTAAAAAATCTACTTTTAAAGACAAAAAATATGTAAAACTCAAGTTTCATATTTTATTTTTCAACCAAAATACTTTATCTCTCAGTCTGAGTGATAAAAACTAAAGTGTTTATATTCATAAACTTGTATTCAAACACAACTGAAACTTTCTCATGCTAAAGCTAAAGCTAAAGCTAACAAGGCCTTTGTATGTATTTCCATGTTGGTTTGTGGCTTTTTAGAGGCGCTAATCAATTTTCACCTCTGAGTCGATGGTGCGATGAAAAGCAGCAAGATGATTTGCTTACGAAGCGAAGCGATGAAGAAATGTGAGCGACGGCGTCGCTGAAACGTTCCCTCTGCCCAAACTGACGAGCAGCTTCTTCTGTCATTTTCTGCCCACTTATTAAAATCTGTTCATTCATTTTACATAAAAACAAATCTGTGCTCCACTTCCTTTTAATCCGATGAAAAGAGTCGCCGCCACCGTCATGCTCCACGCAAAAGAGCGGGTTCAGCGGCAGCGCCGGTGGGGCGAGGAGAACAATGATGGTCGACGCGTTGCAACGACTTTTATCAGCGTTCACTCATTCACATGCAAAGTGTGAACATGGCTGATGGGTCAGAGATGTTTCTGCTGGGAAACAGATGAAGCTTCAATAAAAACAATGATGAACTTTGGATTTGTTTTATAAACTTCTGCTGGGTCAGACTATCAGACAGGATCCATTTGCATTGTTATGCTGATGATGATCGGTTCTATTTAAGCCTGAAGAACCCAATCCGTGAGTCAAACAAGCGTGTTCTAAAAGCATAAAAGACTCAGAGCAGACAGATGTTGTGTTTATGGACCTAAGCCATTCAGGAGCAAACTGTGTGGTTGTTCTCTTCCTCTGGATGGAACCAACTTGACCTCCAGCATCAACATAAGGAACCTTGCTGTTATTATGGACCAGCACTTAAAACATGTTATCAGGACCGCCTTCTTCCAACAAAACAATGTTAATAAAATCAGGAACATCCTGACCCAAAGTGATGCAGAAAAACTAGTTCATGCATTTATTACTTCCAGGCTTTATTATTGAAGTTCTCCATAATCAGGATGTTGAGAATCTTCTCGTCTCTAGATGATCCAAAATGCTGCTGTCAGAGTTCTGATGAGCGTTAAGACTCTGGTCCTATAATCACTTCATAAGAATTTTGTTTCTGACATTTAAAGCTCTGAAAGATCCAGGTCTATCTTCTAATAAAGATCTTGTTCCCCCAACGGAGCACCTGGCTACAGGTTTACCCAGAGAACCAGCTTCTGATTTTTGGTTCAACCCCTTAGCATTCCAGCGTCCCTCCCATGGGACAAAACTCCATTGCATTCAATAAACCTGGAAATTTAAGGGGTTAATACATTTACTAGCTTGGGTTATCCTGGCTCATCCCTTTTGTTTTGCTGCTGTTGTGCTTTATGATGACTTCTTCCATAAACTGACGCTTTATAAATAGACTCAATTAGATTAGAGGTTTGATGGATCACAGAGTTTCCAGCAGCGCTTCAACTGGGACCAGCATCATCTGGGTTCTGATTCCAAAACTAAAACTGGATCAGTTGACAGGAAAAAAGGACTTCACGAAGAAGACTGGTACTAAAAGATTTTTCATGTAAAACATGTCAGAATCTGAAAGAATCAAATCCAGATTCTGATTTTTTCTAAATAAACCTTTGGCTGGACTTTTGGTGATGATTTGGCCTGTTTTTAGCTCATGATCCCACTCGTTTCTGCAGAATCTGAAAGTTTCAGGTGTGCGTTCTATCTGGAGCCACAGTTTGTTGTTGTTTGTTGGTTTTTAAATAAACTCAGTCTCGTCAACAGGAAGCAGCTGGTTCTGGTTGTATCTAGCAAACAAAGTCCAGATCCATTCACTTTGTTCATTCCTGTCCATACAAATCTAAAATGAAGAACATCTAGTGTCTAAAGAAAAGACTCACTGATTTTAATCTTTTCCAGCTGATAAAGGAGAGAAACTTCCAAACTAATTCTGATGACTTCCTGCTTTTCTCTCCTGCGACTTTTATTTTGAAACGCTGAAGGCTCCAAGCACACCTGGACAGGTTTTCCTATAGATGTAAACATTTTTCTGATTGGCTTAATGAGCTGACCTGGATTGGAATCTTTATTATGTGAAGTGCCTTGAGACGACTCTTGTCGTGATTTGGCGCTATATAAATAAAATTGAATTGAATTGAATTGAATTGAATTTAAATTACATGTCAGGTCTCTGACAGCCCAGAGCACGCCATTCACAAATGTTCCCATTTTAGATTTATAGATTTGTGTTGACTGGCTCCACTGGGACCGACAGGCCTCGTTCAGGACAAAAACGTTCTAAACAACAAACCGAGTCTGAAGAAAACGAAATGACTGAAGCTGGCAGCAGAAAACAGGCAGACCTTTAAAGTTATTTATTAATTAATGTTATAATTTTACAAGAAAGGTCCTGCATGTGTTCTTAAGAACTTAAAGGTTCTTTAGTGAAAACAAAACTTCCAGAAATTTTAATGACATCAGTTTTACTCTGAAATTCATCAGATCAGAAAAATAGAAAAAATAAAAATCTGGAATTTATTTTATAACAACTCCCATGGAAAAACAGGAGTTTCGTCGTTTTTCTGCTCCAGAGCATACAGGTGTGTGTTAACACAGCCTTAGAAAAACAACTGAAGCTGCCCATTGATGTGGGAAGGGTCAAAGGTCATTAGGAATCAAGTTTGATGGGAAGAAGAATTATTTAGCTTTCAGAATGCTTCCGGGGGTAGACGTCCCAGAGGATTCACCCTGAGGTCAGAGGTCAATGATCTGAGAAATGAGAGCTCAGCAGATGATCTTCAGAGAGCTGAAAGACTGCAGACTTTAAGAAGAGTGGACCAGATTTCCTCCAGGACCACGTGAGAGACCGATGAGGTCCTACTGAGAGCTCCTGCTGCTGAAGGAGGTTCTGTGGTTCAGGAATCTGGCTCCGCTTGAGTTAACTACATCACGTGATGTTCTGGTTGGATACACAGAACTTCAGGAATCAAAGGTTTTGTCAAATCAAAATCTAATTTAAGAAAAGATTAAATAATTTAGAATACAATTCAGAACAACCAATAACTTTAAACTAAAATGTTTACTACATTGCTGTTGATCTAATTGTAAAATAAAAACTAAACTCAATTCAATTCAAGTTTATTTATAAAGTGCCAAATCACGACAAGAGCCGTCTCAAGGTACTTCACAAAGTAAACATTCCAGTACAGGTCAGTTCATTAAGCCAATCAGAAAAAAGTTTCCTTTATAAGGAACCCAGCAGGTTGCATCGGTTCCATCAATCCTCAAAATTTACTAAATAAAACAGAATTCTGGTATTTGTTTCAACCTTAAGACGAAGGAAACCACACAAAGACAGAAGTTTAGAGAAGATCTAAACACTAATGGAGACAAGACGTTCAGCAGAAGCGGGAGCCGTGGGGGGGGGGGGGGGGGGGGGGCTGGACCACCTGAGCAACCTCTCACATTTTTTATCAATAATCAACAAGTTATAATGATGAAGATTCATATTTAACATTTAAATCAAAACGATTTAAATCTGCAGTTAAACGTGTGAAAATATGGTTTGTTAAATCACTTTTAGATCATTTATATATATATATATATATATACATATATATATATATATATATATATATATATATATATATATATATATATATATATATATATTAGCTTCTTTTGTGTTTAAAAATCATTTAGATTGGTCTTTTGGAACAAACTTTTAAAAAATGTATGCTCTCTTTATTAATGCAAATTTTCAATTTTAGCTTGGAAAAACAAAAGTCGTAAAATAATTAATAAAATTTTGCTGCTTTAAAAGTTTTGTTTCATCTGTAGAAACATTTTATTATCTCATAATGATGTTTGAGAAACAATAAATCCTTACAAATTTTCTTCAAACGGCTCGTGACAAATAAAATTATTTAGTTTGAATTTAGAGATAGAACCTAAAATTATTTAAATTTGAAACTAAAATAGACTTGTTTTTAGATGTGAAAGTTTCTGTCCAAACTTCACCTGCTTCAGCAAACAGGATCTAAAAGCTTTAGCAGCACCTGGAGGGTTCAGAGAAACCCCTGTGTGTGAGAACCGAGACGGTTCTGGCCTTATGCTGCAGGACGATGCATCTGAGTCTGATTCTAAAGATCTGGAGGATGCAATGGAAAACACTGAGTGTGCACAAACCCATAAAAAGTGTTTTTATCCATTTTCATGTTTTTATTTGACAAATTGAGAATCTGTAATTTGTGTAATTGGTATTTTAGCTGTGAATAATTTGAACCTGAAATTAAAATAATTTGTTTACATAAAGTTAATGATTAAAATGTCGAATTAATCAACTAAAGATTTTCTTTGAAAAACAAAAAGACACAGCTGAGGAAGAAAATCCAGTTTTTTATACAAGATTTCATTTTGAAGAGCACAATTTTAAAACAGGCTTTTATTGATCAGAAATTAACCCCAGGAGTCCAACATTACCATCTTAGCTTTGTCTAACAGCTGCAGACACATCTGCACGAGTGGGCAAGGTCATGTGATCCTATCACAGATTTTAATACTTTGTCAGTTTCTACTTAATGATTTTCTTTAGCTTTTGGTTTGTTTGTGGATTTAGGGTTTTCACAAACACTTTAGTAAATTATTACTGATATTAAATAGACGGAAATATTTTAGCACATTTTGAACAATACATTACTTGAAAACTTCTTGATGATTTCTCCTATTTTATTTATTTTGTTTTTAATAAACAAACAAAATAATCATTTTATTTTATTCATGGAATAAAATGAAAATGTTCCATTTTTTTAAACTATAAACTGTCCTTTTGGATCAAAATGTTTATTTAATTTTAAAACATGTAATTTATTTTTATTTTATTCTGTAAACTAATAAATTTCCTAATTGAGAAATTACACCTTTTTGTTTCAATTTTGTAAGGTGTATGATTATTATTTTAATACTTACATTTATTATTATTATTATTATTATTATTATTATTATTATTATTATTATTCACTGGAAGACTTGATGCGTTTAAAGCCCATCTGTTGAAAATCTAAAAGTTGAACAAAACATAAATATCTGTTCCTATAAGCATCTCTTTGAAAATAAATTATTTTCATTAGCTGATCTTGCACGCACACACACACACACACACACACACACACACACACACACACACACACGCCCACATCAGGCCGCTGGGGTCGTGATCACCTGAAGATGCTGCAAGTGCACTTCATTGATCGGATGAAAGCAGATCGAGTCCCACATTCAGATTCAGCAGAACTCATCTCCTGATCCAGATATTCAGTTGTTTTACTGCTGATCTTCAAAAACCAAATTATTATACGTCCATGCGTCACCCTTTCATCTGCTCGTGAACGAAACTAACCAATGTTCAATACAGCCAAATAAATTATTCTGAGAGCAACTTTTGGCCTGGAACTTGGAAAACAGTTTAAATTCACCTTAAGTTCTCTTTTAGTGGATTATTAGAATTCAACGTTTTTTTTCTTTATACATTTTTTTCATTTTTTTTTTTCATTTATTGTGAAATGTTTGCTATGCAGCGAATTCTCAGCTGAACTAAAATCTGAACACAAAAAAGCCAAAACCAATAAGGAGGAAAATGTGAGCAGAAAATTCTTCTTGGAGCACAAAATCTTTTCTGTGTGTTTGGGTTGCTCTAAATCTGAGAGGAAACCGAAATATGATAAACTCAATTAAGTAAAATTGGAATAAAAAATCTGGCTATGAACAAACTCATAGCCTAAACATTAAATCCCAGATTTAAACTGATTTATGTGTTAAAATCGTCAAATGACTTAATTTATTTATTTACACTTTTATCTAAAATTCAGAAATAAGAAACATGAAAGTAAAACTGTTGATTCCCTGCTGAAAATCATCATCCTTCTGATTCGTGCTATAGAACCCGTACGTGTGTCACGCGCGGAGGCTCAACCAGAGAAACATAACTCAGGAACCATGCAGAACCTCGAACTTGACCCCAAGCAGAGGAAGTCCTCCTCCCGCGGGCGGCTCACCTTGGAAGCGGTGTCCCAGGAAGCGGCTCCGCAGCACCCAGGGGTAAAAGCTGAGCGCCTCCCGGTGCTGCGGGCTGAAAAAGCTCTGCGGGGGGATCTGCAGCGGGTGCAGTGGGAGACCACCTGTGCTCTGCGTGTGCGTCCCGGGCTCCTGCAGCACCACCTCCGGTCCGGCTGGAAACAAAGTCCTTCCGCTGCTCCCCTGAAAGCAGGTGCCGAAGACCCCAGCGGCGGAGGCCGGGTGGAGGGAGTCCGGGAACCGGAGCGCTGTTGGCCGGATGGGCTCGTCCCCGGAGCTGCCGTGGCTGCTCGCATCCTTCCCGACCAGGGACTCGATGGTGAAGCACTTCTTGTTGCTGTGCTGGAACATCTTAAACAGCTGCAGCTGAGAGGTGGAAGAATGGTGGTGGAGGTATTAAATGGTTTGGGTCCAGTTCCAGGGACTCGAGGGGCTCAGATTCCCAGTTCCCCCATAACTCTCCCGGACAGTCCGCCTGTGCGCACCAGCCGTGCGTAAATCCCGACTCTGAGCGCGTGAAGGTGGCTGAGGTTCCAGGAGCTCCGCAGCAGGACAAAAAACCAAACCACAAACTTGTTCCGGTGTTGAGGTGGCGCGAAACTTTAGAACCGCTGCCGAGTTCGAGCGTTCGGTTCAAGCCGCGGATCAGTCGATGCCTCCTCGCGCCTCCTGTCGCCGCATGCTGGAGTCTAATGAACCAGGAGAGTCCGTCAGTGCAGGCTCATACCTGCCCTGCCCCTGCCAGAGGTGTGCTGAGCATGCGCAGTGGCAGCGCTGCCATGGAGGAGGAGGAAGCGGGATATCAGAGGTCATGATGATAATAACTGACAGTGATGACGAGGAGGATTAATGGAGTTCATATTATTAATAGTCGCTCTAATTAAAACCAACAGTGACTAATTTCTCTGATCAAGTCATTTAAACCCAAACAAATAAGTGTGTGTGTGTGTGTGTGTGTGTGTGTGTGTGCGTGCGTGCGTGCGTGCGCGTGTGTGTGTGTGTGTGTGTGTGTGTGTGTGTGTGTGTGTGTGTGTGTGTGTGTGTGTGTGTGTGTTGTCATTGATCAAGGATTATACATCATTGTGTTCATATTTCTGTTCATCAACAACATTTAGACAGTCTTTAATGCTTTGTAGTAATAATAATTACTTCGTTTTTCAATCATTTTAAGAGCATAAATTGTAGATCTTTTATTGTTTTGTGTCTCTTTGCTGTTATATGAATCAAATTTTATTGAGGTCAGTTTGTTTCAACCCCTCAGATTCTCCTCATATTGAACCTATTCACACCAAACCATCTTTGACCACAGAGAAAAACTTCTCATCTGTTGTTCCTTTTTGTCTTTTCACTAAATGACAAAAATTTCAAAATGTGTGAAACTTTTTGGTCTGAACTGAAAGCCGCTTCAGTTTTGTTTAAAATTTTGCTATTTTATCTTTTTAATCTCATCCTCCTGGTTTCTGAAACATTACTTTAAGACAGATATTATTCTTTTTTCTGGGAGGGAGTCTTTGTTTTGGCATCTGTTTTATTGGAGTTTGTGGATAATTTTGGTTTTTGTTGTTTGTTTTTTGTAACTGAGAATTAAAACCACATTCACATAGGGAGCCTAAGTCTCCTCCCTTTCCGGTCACCTCATGGGTCCACAGAAGAACGAAAAATGAATGCAAGTCAACGGGACTGAAAGAGCTATTTTCTAATCCGCTTTGCCCTACGCCCTGGCTCTTGCATATGCTGTACTTCAGTCAAAAGTAATGATGGGTGTTTCAACCATACCAGTCATGTACTTTGAGATTTATCAGTTTGTAAAAGTTTGTAATTAGCATGAAACCAATCCAGACACCGGAACATCACATATGTGGCGTCACCACATAATCTCCTCTCCTCTAGCGTAGCTGCTACTTACCACATGGCCAGATTTATGATAGTGCTTTCGTCCTGAAGGAAGGATTTGAAGTTTGCTGAATTTACAGCCATTTTCCCTCAGTTTTCTCCATGTCTGGTTCGATGACGTCACTTTTGTGATGCGCATTTGTAGTTCTCGACTTTTTTTCAAACAAAACCTAAAACGGAGTATCCCCTGTTCAAAAATGAGTGCTTTCTTGGTATCAAAATGTCTTTCAAATTCACGGACATCATGTGTGAAATCCACGGCACAAAACAAGAGGGATTAGAAAATAGCGTTTTTAGCCCCATTGACTTGAATTCATTTTTTCGTTTGTCCAGGGACCCATGGTCCGGAAGTAGATGGGCGTGACTTAGGCTTCCTATGATAATTCAGCTGACCAAGGGCAACGCTGAAGGTCAAAGGTCAGTTTCAACCTCCAGCTGATTTCTGAAGACATATTGTTTGTTCTGAGATATATATATATGTATATATAGTTATGATATATACAAATTTTATATAGTTAAATATATGTATATGTATATACATATAACTGGTTAACTGGTCTTCCAGGCTGTACTGTGAGACCTCTTCAAATGGTCCAGAACGCAGTGGAGCGTGTGGTCTTCAATCAGCCAATAAGAGCACACGTCACCCCTCTGTTCATTGAGCTCCACTGGCTACCGCTAGCAGCACGCATCAAATTCAAATTGCTAACACTAGCATACAAAGTCCGAGATGGTACGGCTCCCATCTACCTGAATCCTCTTGCAATGGCTTACGTCTCGGCTCGGCCGCTCCGGTCATCACAGGATCGTCGGCTAGCAGTGCCTACACCATGCTCAGGACATTCCAGACTCTTCTCATGCATCATTCCAAAAATGTGGAATGACCTTCCAAGCACTACCAGAACAGCGGCTTCCTTTTCAATTTTCAAGAAACTCCTGAAGACCCTGCTCTTCTGAGTGCATCTTCTTAACTAGCACCTTCCCTGCACCCGTGCCCCCCTCTGTCCACTCCTTTGTTCCCTCCTCTCCATGATTGATGTCAAGTTGTTGTTGTTATTGTTGTTGTTAGCCTCAAGTTGTTGCCGGTTATCACTTGTAAGTCACTTTGGACAAAAGTGTCTGCTAAATACATAAACATAAACATATATATGTAGTAAAAATAATCATATTTCATCTGCTTTCAGTTTGTTAATAAGGCTTTCAGTCGTTTGGGTTTAAATGTCTATGTGGGTGCTGGGAAATTATGGAACACAAACAATTTCAATCTGATACAACAGCAGATTATTATTTTGTCCTATTTATGAGATATCTGCTGCAAAAAAAATTATTTGCAGATTAACAGTTTGTGTGGACAAAGGAACCAGTTTGGTCCCTGCAAAAATTAAATATATTCACTCAATCAAACAAACTTGTAATATTAAGTTAAATATTATAGAAAGTTTTTCATGGAATGTTTAAACATTCTACTTGAACTAAAGTTTTACAGAAGGGGCAAACTCCGCCTACCCAAAGGGAAGCCAATGCAGATGTACCAGCAATTGCAGTTCCCCCATAATCCACTAGGGGCTGGCTCCAGAAAGGAGCAATGTTTCATTAATGTATTTTAAGCTTTAAATTATGAATACTTAAGGGCGTGTCCTTTAGATTGACATGTAGCAGAGGAGCTGTCAGCATTAGCTGCTTGCCCTCTTACTCCAGGGAAGGCAACCTAATGTTTATGTGTTACAGTCTAGAAGGCGTCAACCTCTGTAAGCTCGGTTAGCTTAGTTAGCTTGTAGCTACATTAGCTCAGAGTTTGATGGGTGTCAGTCATCTTCCCCACCCTCACAGCCCCGTTTTCAGTTCCATACTTTCTGGGAGTGACAAGACCCATGACGCAGCCAAGATGGCGATTGTGGGAACTGCCCACTGAGCTTCAATCCAGCTCTTTAGAAACCTACAGGTGGTTGGTGACCTACAGTCACTGGATAAAATAAGTGCTGAAGCTCTCCTGTTACATTGTCATAAAACATCGTTTTATATCATTAGCCAAAGTTAAAGGAGACACTTTTAATGGGCCAACAGGCCGCGTTTGGCCCCAGAGCCACAGCATTAAAAACCCTGGTGTTGACCAGCAGTTCACTCATTACAGAATATTTAGTTTGTAGGTTTGTTTCTACTGCTGGTTGTGTGGTCATCCACCCACCAGGGGGCGATGCTGCAGAAACATGAAACAGAAGCCGTTTATGACACTTTCAGAATCCATAACATGTTTTTCAGGATTGGACGTGTTCGGTTTGTTCTGTCCAGCCCAGACTGGACTGGACCGTCCTCTGCAGCTTTGGGACCTGCAGGACAAATGCCAGCCCATTCAGGAGCCTCTAATTGTGGCCCTGAAAGCCCCACAAAGGCCCCCTGCCTCCAGCTTGAATGAGCTGCCCTGCAGAGGCCCGTGTGAACCGCGGAGCCCCTTATTCCTCCCCATCCTGCCTCAGTATGTCAGCCTCTGCCTCCCTGCCGACCCTCCCGCCTGCTCCACATGTTAATTAATAGGCCCCACTGGCAGATTTGGATCCTGCTCAGCTTTGATGGAAGGCAGCCATTAGCATCTATTAATTTTGCCTCTGGCGTTCTATCGGTGGAGCTGAAAGGAGGAATTAAGTGGTGTGAGTCATTGTGAGGCTGAGTTAAAGTGTGATTATTGTCCTGCAGCCTGGAGCCGCCGCTAACTGCTGCTAAGCCCTCTTGAAAGTGAAGGGGCGACTCCTCATTAGAGCTCAACAAGGGAAAGATATTAACAGGAAATAGCTGCAAATTTCTTTCTTCCACTTTTAATCCTTCTCCTGCAGCATCCACATGAAAAGGGCACTTAAAAATATAAAGATGGTAACTGGAGCACGAGCAGCGAGGCCAAACGCCGGCTCAGATGATACTGTGGTTATACTGATGGATGTCACTTTAATTTGATCAAAGACCAAAAGTTTGATGCTGAAAACGATCCACACAAACATTCCTCTAACACCAAACAGTACAATGAAACGTGAAGTGACTGCCCGCTCATCCTCGTCTTCCTCTCTAGCATCTTTTCTAGCTGTTGTTTCTGTAATTTCAGGTTTTGTTTTTTCTTTTTTTAATTTTAATTTATTTTTTCACCCATTGTTTACTTGTTTTTTTAATCATTCTTGTAAAGCACCTCGTGAGTTTCAGTACTGCTCAGGGCCACTCTTCTCCAAAAAACCTTCCTCCCTTCCCTTTTTTTTTCCTCTGGTGAAGGTGGAGAGAAATCCCCCAGACTGGGAAGCAGAAGCTTCTCTGTCCGAGCAGGCGAGTGTGTGTGTGTGTGTGTGTGTGTGTGTGTGTGTGTGTGTGTGTGTGTATGTGTATGTGTGTGTGTGTGTGTGTGTGTGCGTGTGCGTGTGCGTGTGCGTGTGTGTGTGTGTGTGTGTGTGTGTGTGTGTGTGTGTGTATTAGTGGCTCATTCCTCCGACAGAAAATCTCCAAGTGGCAGCGGAGATAGGGATGGGTGGGTGAGTGCTGTCCGTCACTGCCGCAGCTTCAAACACACCCACACTTCAGACAGGAAGTGTGGGTGGAGTAAGAGTCTGAGAGAGGTGACTTGTTCTTTAAAAATACTTTCAAGCACAGTTCAAGCATCCTTCAAGTCCAAAAGGATGTAATTCCACCATTTGGTGTAGCTTTTGTAAGACAGTTTTATTGTTTTGGTAAAACAACAATTTAAATTCATAAAGTTTTCCTAGTTTTAACCTTTTTATCAGGTAGACGGATAGAATGTTGATGTGTCAGTATGCAGTCACATGACTCAGAAGGCGGAGCCTTGTCACAGACTCACAACAATGTCGCTCTCTGTTCCTAAACCTTTACAAAACATCAGCAAAATACATTAAAATATAGATATTTTTGTCACCCAATGTGTCTCTCGGTGGTGTCAAGCTTTAGCTTTTCTCTTAAATCCTCCTAGAAGTTAGAGAGAGTCAAATCCAACAGCTGAGCTCCGAAACTCAAAGTCTTTTTAACTTGTCGTTCAGTTGGAACCTGAACAACAAACAACCGTTAGCTCACAAGTCAATGATTTCTTAAATACAAACTCTTACTTTTACACAGAAAATGAAAACGCAGTTGTGTGCTGATCCTCCCTCTTTTGGCAGGAAAATCAAGATCTCCGATTGGATAACGCTACATCAAGCTGGCTCCTGATTGTTTCTGTGTAATGTGTCTGCACTTAGTGGGTGTGGCCTAAATCTATGTGTAAAATGGTGGTATATTAGGGAGCTGGCATCAAAGTTTCTTCAGGATTTTTTGTTGTTGCTGCTACTTTTTGGCATTATTTAATGTTTTATAACAATAACAGATTTTATAAAGTGCTTTCAGTCAAAGTGAGCATTCTTATGTGCATGTAGTTCTTAATGTTGTGTTTTTTTTTCTTTATCCCGTTGAATGTCTTTGCAATCTAAAGGAAATGTTTTTTATGGGTTTATTGCAACAGTTTTTTAGTTTAAATAATCAAAGACAATAAAACTGTAATAATAATTTGAGAAAATAGAACACTTTTATTCAGTTTCGTGTTTTTATAATTATCTCTAAGTTGAAATTATCATCTTTGTCTATTTCATTACCTCGCATTTTCTGGTCACACTTGCATGTTGAAGTGATTGTTAGATTTTCTTTTTATTCATAAACATGCTGACCCCCCTCAACTTCACAGGAGTTTCAACTACATCAAGTTAAACTGAGTTTCTCCTTCAGAGTTGCAGTAGTGCAGAATGCACCTGACCAGCCCGTGATTATATCAGTGCGTCTGTATCAGGTTGTGGTTTGCTGAACTGGATGATGTTAGGAGGAGCTGATGGAAATCAGACACATTTATGAGAAGATTCAAGGAGAAAACGTGATGGCTGAGAGTATCCACTTACAGAGACAATAGGTTCGTGTTACTGAAAGTTTGTATTTTTTGAAAACAGTTTGTTGTATCAGCACTGGCTGGGCAGACAGATCATGGTTGTTGCATCAATGCAACATAAAGTCACATTTGTCTGTTTCTGGTTTTGTAGAAATATACACTCAACAAAATATAAACGCAACACCTTTGTTTCTGCTCTGATTTTTCATGAAATGGACTTAAAGATCTAAAATTCATTCCAGATACACAACATTACCATTTCTCTCAAACATTGTTCACAAATCAGTCTAAATGTGTGATAGTGAGCACCTGTGCTTTGCTGAGATAATCCATCCCATCTCACAGGTGTGCCACATCAAGATGCTTATCTGACATCATGAGTAGTGCACAGTACCTTATACTGCCCACAATAAAAGGCCACCCTGGACTGTGCAGTTTTTTTGCTTTATTGGGGGTCTGGGGACTCAGAACCAGTCAGTATCTGGTGTGACCACCATTTGCCTCATGCAGTGCAACACATCTTCTTCGCATAGAGTTTATCAGATTGTCAGTTGTGGCCTGTGGAATGTTGGTCCACTCCTCTTCAATGGCTGTGAGAAGTTGTTGGATATTAGTGGGAACTGGTACGCGCTGTCGTATACGCCGGTCAAGCATATCCCAAACATGCTCAACGGGTGACATGTCTGGTGAGTATGCTGGCCATGCAAGAACTGGGACATTTTCAACTTCCAAGAATTGTGTGAAGATCCTTGAATCATGGGACCGTGCATTATCTTGCTGAAACATGAGGTGATGTTCATGTACGGCAGAACAATGGGCCTCAGGATCTCATCACAGTATCTCTGTGCATTCAAAATGCCATCAATAAAATGCACCTGTGTTCTTCATCCATAACAGATGCCTGCCCATACCATAACCCCACCACCACCATGGGCCACTCGTTCCACAACATTGACATCAGCAAAGCGCTCACCCACACGACGCCACACACGCTGTCTGCCATCTGCCCTGAACAATGTAAACCGAGATTCATCCATGAAGAGAACACCTCTCCAAAGTGTCAGATGCCATCGAATGTGAGCATTTGCCCACTCAAGTCTGTTACGGTGATGAGCTGGAGTCAGGTCAAGACCCCAATGAGGTTAACGAGCATGCAGTTGAGCTTCCCTGAGACGGTTTCTGACAGTTTGTGCAGAAATTGTTTGGTTATCCAAACCAATTGTTTCAGCAGCTGTCTGAGTGGCTGGTCTCAGACGATCTTGGAGGTGAACCTGCAGGATGTGGAGGTCCTGGGCTTGTATGGTTACACGCCGTCTGCGGTTGCGAGGCCGGTTGGATGCACTGCCATATTCTCTGAAACGCCTTTGGAGACGGCTTATGGTGGAGAAATGAACATTCAATGCACAAGCAACAGACCTGGTTGACATTCCTGCTGTCAGCATGCACATTCCACTATTGCACACTCCCTCATTTCTTGTGGCATCTGTGGCGTTTTGCTGTGAGACAAAACTGCATATTCCAGGGTGGCCTTTTATTGTAGGCAGTATTAGGTACACCTGTGCACCACTCATGATCAGCATCTTGATGTGGCACACGTGTGAGGTGGGATGGATTATCTCAGCAAAGCAGAAGTGCTCACTATCACACATTTAGACTGATTTGTGAACAATGTTTGAGAGAAATGGTAATATTGTGTATCTGCAATGAATTTTAGATTTTTAAGTCCATCTCATGAAAAATCGGAGCAGAAACAAAGGTGTTGCGTTTATATTTTTGTTGAGTGTACGTACATGCTTGTGTTAAGGAACATTTTTACTGACTCTGAATACTGATCAGATTGATTTAAACTACAAATAAAGATTGATTTTGAATTACTTTACCATTGATCCCACTGACACGTCCCCCACCCCTGTTGGGTTTCCTTTCTTGTTGCACCTCCTCTTCAGGGATTTCCAGGTGGCTGTGAAGTGTCCTGGGAACGCTGTGACCCATAACTAACACACACAGACGAGACACACACACACACACAGATTTGGGTTCCTGCTGACATCTCGCCTCTGTCAGTGTGCCCCAGGGCAGCTGTGGCTACATCTCATCACCATCAGTGTGTGACTGTGTGTGTGAATGGATGAATGATACACTGTAGTGTAAAACACTTCGGAGTCAGGCGCTGTAGTGTGGGTCATTTATCATTTATCATAAACCTTAAGCCACATTTTCTGAACTCCTGATCCAGGTCTCATGGCTATATTTTTCTTCTTGCTGGAGTCAGAACCAGGATCAGATTGTTTCTGTCTCAGGCTGCTGGCATCGCCAAATTAAACATCCAGCATAAAACTGTTTATGCATAAACATGACTCTGGCTCATCCCCTGAGTTAGGAGACTTTTATACCTGAATAAGGAATTCAGTAACTTTGAAAGAAAAATAGAGACTTTTGAACTTGTCTCTGAATTTGGACAGATTCCAGGTCAGTCTGTTCTCACAGCATCAGTAAAACCAACACACACAGAGCCAGAAAATGGAAAGGGTTCAGTCTACAGGTGTCCAATTCAGGCATTGCTGCTCGTCAAACATTCCTTGATACATTGATCCCTGTTTATACAATGCAGTTCACAGATGTTGGGAACTTGAAGGGACTCAGCCTGAGGGGTCCGGACCCCGTGAGGGACTATCAGTAAGATTCTGCCCAATCAGAGCTCAAGCTGCTCGCACTCTGTCAGGTGTCAACAGGAAGATAGACTTTCAGGACCGCAATGTAAATAAGCTGAAATCTGAGGAGCAGATTTACAATTCCTCACAGTGAAACTCTGCCTGCTGCTGGGCTACAGCGCCTCCAAGAGGCCAGAATTTTTTTCAATGAAAAAGGTCTAACTTTTTACTCAAGAGAGACAAAAAAAATCACATTGACCTTTTACAGTCTTAGCATGAGGTAAAAACACCTCTAATGCATTCACATCTGATTTCTAAAGGCGCCCTTTAATGTTTAGTGGGCAACAGAAACAATTTAAAACTCAAGTACTAACTAGGAAATGAGTAATCCTTTAACTTCTGTTTGGGTCTAAAACAGCAGCCGGAGGTCATCTGAGGAACAATAAGATCAGTTCGAACCCAAAGAGCTAATAAGTGTTCTAACAAATGGTTCTGTGCTTCCATCTACTGGTTGAATTACTAATATTCTTTTGAATGTTCCTTAAACATAAATATTATGTCAAAATTAAAAAAAAAACTACAACAAACTGGTTACATACGAATGACCAACACAATAAAAATAAGCTTAAATAAGTAATACAACATATGTACAGGTTTTAATTCTGTATAGCTCAAAAAACTCAGTAAGTCAACAGGAAACTGAATACAAATTGTTGCTCTTTCTAAACACATCGTATGTGACACACAAAAAAGGAAATGAGAAAAAAAAACTAAAAAAGCAAATACAAGTGTATGAAATGACTTTCTGTAAAATCCTGTTGAAAGTGCTGGTGCGTGTCGACAGCTCACAAAACATTGAATCTGCTTTTCTTTGGCTCAACAAAAATCCACAATAATGCATAAAATACAGAATAGAAATCTCAGTTTAAAGGCAGAAACACTGGTTACTAACATAGAAGCTCCTGCTTTAATTTAAACTGAGATATTATTATAAACATTAATACAAATATTATGGAAAAATGAAGATTCATGAAAATGTGCTGCTAACACAGAGGAAGCTAGCAGGTTGTGTTAGCGCACAGACCTGTTCCTCTATAACCGTTAGACACTGCATGCTGCTGGCTGACATTATGACAAATAATAGTTTTAGCTTTCTAACTCTTTAATGTGCAGGTTATCCTGCCAAAACTGTAAAGTTTCAGCATGATATAAGTGAACTTGAATCTCTAAACAACATGTTGCTAGCATACATGCATGTTAGCATGCTAAAGCTGTATTGTTAACATTAACCAGAAAGGTCAAGAAAGATTTTCATGTTAGCACTTTTGTGTTTGTCAGATTAATCCAAAAGAAACCAGAGCAGTGTGATTCATCTAATCTTAGCTAAATAAAGTGTTAGCATGCTAACACATCATGGGTCTGATAAACACTGATAAAGGCATCAAATTCCATCGTTTGGTTCATTTCTAAGCAGAGTATTTAATTGCTTTAACCTTTTTATCCTCAGAGCACTAAAAGGGGTTTTGAGAATGGATACAGTGTTAGCCAAAATTTGTCAGCTAAAAAAGGTAAAACCAATACTGATGAAGGCATTTTGTTTCGAAAGTACTTGAAATGTGGCAACAAAAAAATAAAACACTAAAAAGTAACAATGAGCAATGATTTTTATATATATATAAAAAACTTGTAATGGGCCAAACACAAAATGTTCAGAAAACCCTAAATCAGTCCAGCTGGGTCTGGTGTTCAGTCAGAAAAGTTTTCATACAAATCGCTGAAACTGTTGAAGTTTCAGTGGATCACCTGAGTTTTCTAAACAACAGGAAGTGGTTCAATTTAACCTGTTCAAGCTTAAAGAAACAACCCAGAAAGATGTTCATTTCCAAAAACATGTCAGTGAGTCAGCAGGTTTTAGAAACAAAAAGAAAAAGAATATAAACCTGCATTAAGGTTGGTTTCTGGGAATGAGGATGAGCTCAGAGAATAGGATGCAGTTTCATTCACTCTGCTGAACAACCAAAAAAAATTTCCAGCAGAACACACAGATGGGAGGAGGAAGAGCCAGCAACACCGTTCTTCCAGAACCTTAAATGAGGATCTCAAAGACTTTCATCAGATCCAAACATCTGAAAAACTTTATCATTAGCAACAATCTGACATCCCTGAGAGAAAGATAATAAATCAGAGTTTGCGTTTTTGAGCTTCTGAAAGTTGCAGCGTCCTGCTCCAAGGCCAACCGAGGATTCTGCAGTCCAGGAATATTTAGGGATGATCTCATGTGCTGACTGGATCTGAGAGAGGTCAACAGTGAAAATAGGACAGGTGAGTTTGAGTCCAGCTGTTGATCCAGATTTAAAGTCTGGTTGGAGTGGTTAAACTCGGGTCCAGTTCTGATGCAGATTCAGAGCCTTTTTAGTGGGGCCCAGATGGTTGAGTCTCAACGGTAAGCAGGCAGTCAGGGTCATCAGGGTCAGCTGGGTGTGATCTCCTGCATCATGGTGGACAGGTGGATGGTCGGACACGAGTCTCTGTGTCTCAGTTTGAACATCAGTTGCTCTTTCTCCTGAGAAAGCTTCTGGTTAACCGCTACCTGCTTCTCCAGCGCTGCCTTTAGGTCCTGCTGCTCCTTTGAAAACTGCCTGGAGAAACAAATAAAGGAGTGTTAATCGTTTGTTTTCCTCCACTAGTCTGGGTCCGGGTTGCAGCATCCCAAACAGCCTTCTCCTCGGCTACCTCCGGCAGAACCCCAAGGAGTTCCCGGGCCAGATTGGAGATTTACTTGCTCCAATATGTCCTGGGTTGACCCGGAGTCCTGCCGGTAGGACATGCCCAAAACACCACCCCATGAAGGCATCTAGGCGGCATCCTGACAAGACGCCTGAACCCAGTCAGTTGGCTCCTCTCAATGCAAAGAAGCAGCGGCTCTACTCAGAATCCCTCCTGAATGTCCGAGCTCCTCATCCTATCTCTACGGCTGAGCCCGACCACCCTCCGGAGGAAACTCACTTCCTTGTGTCCGAAATCCTGGAAAAACCTGGAAAATCCTCATCACCAACAAGTAGTTATGAAATCCTGAAGGACTAAGATGCACCTTCTGTCTGAAAACCCAACATAAGCTAGTTTTTTTTGTTGTTGTTTGTTTGCAAGACATTTGCATAAAAAATGTTAGTGTGGCATCGTCAAATGTCAGTGAAAACTTCATCAAACTTAAAGGGAGACTTTGCAGTTTTGGATTGCGCTTAGCACCCCCTAGTGTCCAGTTAGTGAAAGCAAAAGTAGAACAGCTCCACGCTTTAACACCGTGATCTAACCGCTGAAATGTCTCGTCAACCTTCATTAGTTTCTACAAGAACAGTTTATCACTAAATAAAACAAATCAGCTGTGTTCGTGACCTAAAACATGCAGGAAACGTGCTGGAAACAGACTCCCGCGGCAGGCATTTTTACGAACAAGAGGCAGCCCGCCACTCAGAAGATGCAAGTGTTATATTTTGGCCACAGGGAGCAGCGGGGGTCTGAGGGACATTTCATTAACCCTGTAAAAAGTAATTTTGCCACATACTGGCTCAAGAAAATGATTTAAAAATATGATAAAAGTTGCAAAGTGTGCTTTTAAACTGTTAATGTTTAAAACTCTTAATAGACTTCAGCTCACTAGCCAGAAGGACATAAAATCAGTTTGTGTCTGATTTAATTTTGTCTCTGGTGGGCTTGTGGGAAAAATTATTAAAATCTGAGCTGAAAGCTGGACTCTAATTATGCAACAGGAGCTAAGGTTCACACACCTTCTTAATCATTCTGGTGTTCCTTTGGTATTTAACACAGGAACTCTTCAACGTGAAAGCCAAGAAGGCTGCTGGACAGCAGATGGCGCCACTTCCACGTGTTTTCTAGTGTTTGGTGAATATCTGAAGTGCTTACTGAATTAGTGTCTGGCAGTTGTCAATCCGAACTTTCAGGTCCTCGTTCTGCTGCAGGACGTGGACGACCTGGTCCTCCAGAGACAGGTTCTTCTCCACCTGAACATCAGAACACGTGAGTCAAAACTAAATGCATCTGAGGACAACGTAACTCCAGAATTGATTCAGAGTGAGGCCGAACATCACAGACCTAGATCTTTAGCCTCTTGTTTATTCAAATGTTGTAAAATAAAAAAGCTGCCAGGTAATAGTATAAGTACTAGCATATAAACCAGTACAAGTACCAGTACACTCCAGAACCACATGGGTTTGTGAGAACATACCAGTTCATCCATCTGCTGCAGCTTCCTGCTTTGATCCTGCACACGCTCAGTCTTCATTTCAATGACGAACAGCAGGGACTCCTGCTCCGACTCCCAAAATTCCCCTGGGCTGCCGTGTTCCTGAAGATAACACTTGTCTTTATTTTTTAGCCTCAGACTAAAACAGAATATTTGACTCATTTATGATTCAGTGTTAAAGACTCTTGATCATCAGACCAGGTGTGTGTTGGTTTGACAGGTGCTGATGATGTAAACAGGTTTTAAATGAACGTGACTAACATTAGAAACTGCACACTTTTCAAACCCTACCTGAATGTTTCTCTGTAAATTCTTCTTAAAGTTGGATTCAGCAACTCGTCTTTTCAGCTGGTTGTAGACCTGCAGCTCTGCTGTCAGTTCCTCCACTCTGCTCTGAGATCACATTTTCCATAAAAAAAAACTCCAACAGTTCATCATCTGTCTGGTAGAAGACGAGTTATCGTTTCTTTTCAACTTCGGTTTAAACATTTACCTTCAAAATGTTCTCAGATGCCTGAAACTTTTCGGTCAGGTGAAATTTTTCCTCTTCGTGTCTCTTCTGCAGCTCTGCAGGAAACAAGGAAATAGTTTATTACCAACAACATCACGACAAGCATCGCGCTGCACACTCAGACTTCACAACACAGAAAAAAAGTGTGAGACAAATATGTCAGACAGATTCACCAGTGTGCTCAGAGATAACAAGATGGCAATGAAATTGCGTGTGTGTGTGTGTGTGTGTGTGTGTGTGTGTGTGTGAGCGAGAGAGAGAGAGAGAGAGAGAGAGCAGTTACCTTCTTCTTGCCTTCTGTATTCTTCAGCTTCAGATCTACTTTTGTGTTCGTGCAGAGCGTTCAGGTCAGCCGTTGTCTCAGTTTTCACCTGCAGGTTATATGATGACGGACGGGGGTCAGTTTGATGATTGAGAAGGAAAAAGCAGTAGTTAGTAACTCCTGATCCGGTCCTGGTCTTTATAGTTTCCTTATACAGTGGTTCTGGATCAACGATCTTCAGACTCTCAGAAGATCTGAACGAGTCTTTCCTTATGCCTGGAGCTGTTTTTTCACAGAGCCTTTTGTTAAACCTCATACTTTGATGCTGAGTCACTAAATGTGTTTAGAAGGATTTGCAGATTTAAAAACATAAATCATGAGATTATAAAAGCATCCACTCCTCCCAAAGTCAAACATGAAAATTAAGAGTGGATCGGAGCTTTGGCACAGTCCCGTCCATGGCAACATAAAGCAGCAGTGAACCAGCTCACGAGCCGCCAATGAAATGAGGCTGATACCACAATTCACGAGCAGACTGCTGGCTATAAACTCAGGAGGTCACATGACCACATCACGATCACATGATCCCAGCTGCTGGAGTTTCATGTAGACTGTACCAACGAGGGAAATACCACAACATAGATCAGATAAACACAAGGACCACATCACTAGTTAGGGTTAAACTAACCCACAGACGACAAGTCAGGCCAAACCTGGACATGATGAACAAAGACACAAATGTCCTGCTTCAGCTTCTCACCTCATCAAAGATGCTCAAGACGAGGGTGAGCACCTCTTCATCAGCGTGGTGTTTCAAGAGCTCCACCCTCTCTGACCACCCATTGGCTGACAACACTTCCTTCAAAATCTTCAGCTGCCACTCAAAACGCTCCAGCTGCTTCTCCAGACAGACGTCCTGCTCACCTGGAACACATTTACCTGTCGAGACAGAAAATAATTCGATATAACAACAAAACCCGATTCACGCAATCTGCTCTCTACAAGCAAAGATGAGAGACCTGACCCCTAGCGGCTGATAGCAGAACTACAGAGCTAAGATTTACAATAGCCCAGTCCCAATACCCACACTGCACCCTGTGGTCTTCAGTGAAGTGCACTTAGAGGAAGTGCACAGGCTTCAAGTGCATAGTACACAAGTGTGCAAATAATTCCTGAATTGGGACAGTGAGCGTTGCATCATCTACCGCAACGCATGCAGTGATGTCGGTCGCTGTTGGTGCTACTTTAAAAAAAATCTTTATTAACAACTTTCAAGCGTTGTGTCCAAAATTTCACTTGTTCAATGTTACAATATCGCATAGCTACAAAAAAGATTTGATCATAATTATAGAAGTGGTTTTCACGTAATTGTCTAGAAGCCTCAGCCAACTGGACCATCTGATTGTCGGTCTCACCAAGCCACCATACTTCCAATTTACCTGGGTCCTTCACTCATTACGCACTCACGTATTTAGCAACAGAACACCACCGATGTGAGAGCTCCGTTCAATAATATCTGAGAAGGAGAAACAGACGGCTGCTACCACTGCTTTAGGACAAACTACCAGAGTCACAAAAAGAAAAGCACCATTTAAAGTCACGGACAACAAAAGAGGTTTGGATCTGGAAAACGCTGCCTGGTGTTTAGCATGCTCTCATTTACTGTGGCAATGCTGGTTCCGGTATCTGGCGGATGTAGCCCAGAGATGATAGCCAACAGGAGGGGTGAGAGTTCTGTGACCATGTTTGTATTTAAAGGCTAGCTTATTTGCAGATTTGCTATTGCAACATAAATGTTATAAATGTATGGCTGTGGGCACCTTTTGGTGCAGATCAGTGACACACTCACTGTCAAAACAGTTGAGATATGCTGACGTCTTAGCAAAGTCCTAAAGGGCTGACTTTGTATGGAGACACCAAGGGTAAGAGGACTGAGCCATCATGTTTTCCCCACACTTTCACCTCTCTCAGAAAACTCCCCAAACTTGTTTAGTGGAAACCAAAGCTATGAAGGGTGGAAGAAGACTAGAAAACCAAAAAAATAAATAAATCAACAAAAAACACTGTTTTAAAAGTTGGTGCGTTATCACCACCTGAACATTCTAAAAAAATCCCACCAAAAAATAAAATCAAACCTAAACTTTAATTGTCTAAAAACCATCAAAGATGTCAAAAGTTCAGTCATGTAAAGACCAGCTCTCTGTGACCCATTTAAACTTTAAATGACATTTCAAGTGTAAAATCTCCCTGAGATATAAAGCTACAGGCAATTATTGTGAATATTGCTCATGTCATTTTGTAAAAACTTGTTTATTTTTTCTAAAGCTACAGATTATGATAAAGAATGATAAAAATAGAGACAGAATCTTTAACAGGATAATAGAGAGGCTGATGCACTGACACTCTGGGCATTCCCAAAAGATTGTGTTCATCTGTTGTAGAGTTTTGGATCTCAATCTTCTTTGTTCCCCGTTGGACCAGTGTCATCAGAAACATTAACCGTTACTGCATATATGCAATTTTTTTCAGCTTTAAGCGCTTTAAGACTCGTCCAGTTGAGGCAGAAAAACAAGGTTTTTTTTTCAAACCAGTCTGTTTTTGTTTAATCCTAATTGGTAGTCATTATTAAATCTGACACCATAAAGCCCTCATTTCCTGAAAATGAGAACAAAACAAAATGTTCTCCAAACATCTAACAAGTCCTCACAAACACACTAAATGTTCAGTCTTCCAACCATCAGTACTGTAATTTTATCACCAAGGGTCGATGACATCATCAACATGTGGACACATGACTTTACACACACACACACACACACACACACACACACACACACACACACACACACACACACACACACACGTAATTCATTTCCAGTGACATATTCAGTTAGAGTGAACCAGCTGAACTCAACAGAGCTAATTATTGCTCATATTTTTATCATTTTCTTAAATGCCCCCCCCCCCCCCCCCCCGTCTGCTTTCCCTTTGCAGTTAAAATAAAAAACATTCCCACTAAAACGGATTCTGCTTTTAGACTTTTGTTGTGTTTTCTTGGTGTTTTCTAATAATCCCTCTGTAGTTTGGTGTAAGCAAGTCGAAGCCTGTCTGCAGATTAACTCTGAGCTCCAGTTTGATCCTATTAGACTTCATTCACAAAGTTATGCAGAGGAACAGGCGTTACTTACAGTTCACCCATAACCAACATGAAACAAATCGAGAGGTTTGCCACTTAAACTGCTCATAAACAGCAGGAAGTTGGGAAACGAGAGACTTAACCAGCTGAGTCACCCATCCACAGCAGATGGTTTGGTCTCCCGCGTCGTAACAAAACACTCCTTTTGTGCTCCGATCAATGATAAAGTCTGTCGGCGTCTGCCTCCTGGAGGTCATGCAGAATATGATCAGAAGGCTCCTTGGACATTTGTAAGGTTTTCTCTTTACCTTTCTCCTTTTCATGAAAGATTTAAACAAAGACCAAAGTGTTGGTGCTGGATCCTCCCAGCAGATGTCAGCTCTAACCAGACCACATGAAAACACACAAGCCCCATAAAACAGCAGCAATTTTACATTTATTAGTCTGGAATCTTTGTAGATTATTTAATAAGTGTCGGATTATGAAACTGACTACTTAAAAAATGCATCATGTTTTATTTGTTGTGTGAAACTGTGTTTTATGTTTCTGCCTCGTTACTGAAGTGACAGATTCAAGTGAAACATGTCGACTGAACAGAGAAACAGGAAGTGAAGAATAAAGGTGAGCTGTGTGAAAAGTCAGAGAGGAAACCACAGATCTACAGGCTCACGTTTACCGTCAGAGCAGAAAATATGGCTCCATAAAAGGTTTTACAAATCAGGACTCATCTGGAACACAGCAGGTCCTAAAACTGATGACCCAACCAGAGATGAATAATAAAACTAAAATCTAAACAAAATTCAGAACTAGGGAGTCAAAGTCCATCTGCCGACCCAACAGAACCTCCTTCGGTAGCAGGACCTCTCAATGAGACCTTATCAGTCTCTCACATGGTTCTGGAGGAATTCTAGACAACTGAAAGGTCTCGGTTTTTCTGAAGGTCCCACCAAAGTGTTTGAGTCAGGTTCTGGTCTATCTAAAATGGGATGGGAGGCAGATCTTTTAGTTATTAGGCTCCTCTCCTGTGGAACCAGCTCCCAGCTTTAGTTCATGAGGCAGACACTTTGTCAGCTTTGAAGACTAGGCCTAAAAGGTAGTCATCTCTGTAGTTCTGCTGCTATAGGCTTAGACTGCTAGAGGAGGATCATCTGGAGGTTTCTTATTAAAAGGGAGTTTTCCTCTCCACTAGGTGCTTGTGTAGTATGAGGATTGCTGTAAAGACACCAACACTAGTCAGTGACTCAATGCATTCTGCTAGGTTCCTTAATAAAGAAAACTTTTTTTACCAATTAGCTTAATGAACTGACCTGTATTGGAATGTTTACTTTGTGAAGTGCCTTGAGACGACACTTTTCAGGATTTGTTGCTATATAAATAAACTGAATTTAAGTGAATTGACTGGACCACTGCCACACCTCGATTGTTTGGGATTATGATTCTGTTTCATGAGACAGTTTAGTCCAGCTTTCAGACTGTAAAATATGTTGGTCTCCAGAACCAGCCCAAAACATCAACCCTCCACCATTGTGCTGACACCTGAGATAAGCTTTTCTATAAGCTTGCAGCTGTGCATCATGGGTATTCATCTCAACTCCCTGTAGAAAGAGCCACAGGAAGGACAGACTCCGTTTTTACTCACTGGTTTTGGATTCTGGTTTCGTTTTTGCTAGATAAATGCCGATGTGAAGAACTTTACACTCAGGTTGAATTCATATCCATTCGGGACCTGCTGAGTTTTTGTTTGATGAGACAAACGAAACCATGACAGGATGTGGACTCACCTCCTTCATCCCGGAAGCCGTTATGGTGCTTCTCTCCTTTCTTGCTTTTGCTTTTTTTCTGTTGACGACAAGCAGAGGAAGTTTCAGTTTGATTTGTTTTTCCCTCCTGGATTCCTGATTTTCTCAAGACTGAGTGAAAGTTTGGCTCCAAGTTTGAAAGTTGGACCAGTTTTCACAGAAACAAACATAAATCAGATCTGTATCAGCAGTCTGGTGTCAGCAGGGTGTAAATCTGGAGGTGATCCATCAGCAGATCTCTGGTCTTCTGCAATAAAACTAATCGTTTCTATGGTGATGCTGAGAGAATATATTTAACAAGAACCAATAAGGAGGGGAGGTGCTGGAAAATATTCTGCGGTTTGATGACCTGTTTTTAGTTAACCCTGCATCAGATAAAATAGTTTTCTAAGAAAGTTTTGAGTAGATTTTTTTGTTTTAATGTATTTGAGCATTTGCGCTCCTGATCTCTTTGTCCCAGTCTGTATAAAACAGAAGATCCCAACTGATTCTTACGGTTTGTTTAAGTTCTGGTGACTTTAATCCCACATTTTTACCTGAAATGTGAACATTTTCCACATTAAACCCAACTCCTGTATGTGTAGGTCTAACCATAACTGGAAGCCAGAAACAAATCAAGCAGGTTCAGTAAATATAAATAAATATAAATATAAATAAATATATATATATTTATATATATATATATATTTATATATATATTTATATATATATATATTTATATATATATATATATATTTATATATATATATATATATATATATATATATATATATATATATATATATATATATATATATATATATATATATATATATATATACATATATATATTATAATGAAGATTTTGACTGGTCAAACTGGACCAGAACTCATCCAACAGAACGCTTAAATGCCTTTAAGTGGTTTTAAATCTAACTACTGCAGAACAAACATGAATGTTGATGAGGAATTAAGCTTCTCTGGTTCTGGTCTGAGTATTAATCCAGTTTGTTCTGAGCTCCTCTTTAGTCTCAAACCACAGAGCAGCTCAATAAAACACTGGAAGCTGTTCACCCAACAGCTGAACTTTAATGATCAGAATCCTCTCAGCTGATTCTGATACAGGTCAGGATGCTCAAACCCACATAGCGATGCGAGCATCGTGATGACCGAACAGCTCCAATTATATCACAGCTGGTAAAATCATTGGCTCCATTGTTCGAAGAGGAAAGTCCTGTTTGTACGAAATGCACCAGTATGACAACTTTTCCAATATGCTGATGTGAGCAATAATCAATATTATACATTAGACAGAGATCGATATATCGGTCCACTGATATTCCTCTGCCTGAAGTAGAAACAATTTAAAGTCAGGCACATCTGTGGGCAGCCGGGATGCTGAATTCCTTTTTTTAATGGCTCCTTAAAAACATCTGCTTAATAAATTATCTTCAATATTATTTATTTTATATTTATAAACTGGTCAGTTTTGTTGGTTTATTTGATGAAAATGTTCGATTTTAAGTGAGCAACATTAAGATTCAAGAGTCTGTTATATTCAAAGTCCAAAACCACAAATGTTGCGCATTGGTTGTTAACATTGGCCCAGTTTTACTTATCTATGTTAAACAATGACTAACAGTGGCTACCAGTGTTGCTGCTGCTGTTTGGTGCATCCCTAGTTTGTGGATGATTTTATTTGTTACATGTCCAATGTATCCGATGTTCTAGATCAGGGCTATTCAATTCCGGGCCTCGAGGGCCAGTATCCAGTACGTTTCAGTTTTACTTCTGCTTCAACACACCTGATTCCAATCAGCAGGTGATTATCAGGCTTCTGCAGAGCCTGATGAGCTACTGCTGCTGATTTGACCACTGAATCTAGTGTGTTGAATCAGAGAAACCACTAAAACATGCTGAATACTGGCCCACGAGGCCCAGAATTGAATAGCCCTGTTCTAGATGGTTCTCAGATACTCCCCTGAGTCTCAGGCAGGGACAGACTGATATATTGGTCAGCTAATATATCGAGCCCATACTTACCTTTTTTCCCCATATATCAACAGGAACCAATATATTAATTACAGACGATTTAAAGGGCAAGTCGCCCCCTACCAGAGTCTTACTCAACTCCCACTTCCTGTTTGAAAAACGCAACAAATACTGTTGCCCGGCAGACCGAGAGGGTGGAGCCGCTAACAAATACATTAACACAAGTGCCCACAACAACGTTACGACATCGTAATGCCCCAGCTGACATCATAGAGTACCTCTTAGCCAATAGCGATGCCAGGTTTAAATTCAAATACAGTGTAGAGTTTTTACCTGACACAACACTGACAGTTTTTGGCAGAATATTTAAATTTTAACTAAGATGCACTAAAGTGCCAATTTAATGACTACACGAGTCTACAGCAACGATTAGACACTCATTTATATAGTTTATTAGCAAAAATGTTGATTTGGGGTGACTTGTACCTTAAGGTCAGGGACATCAGTGTGAGGCAGCAGGGTGCTGCAGCAGAATTATATTATAGCGAAGTTTTATGTTCCTGAAAAACTTCTGCTTAATAAATGCATTAAACACTGCCATTACAAAATGATACTAATGTAGACTCCAGAAACGGTCAGTTTTTCATCCACAGTGTGACCTCTTCAGTATCTGGTCATTTGGAGACATACGTCTTAACTGGTAACTTTAATCTGCAAGAAAGATACTGTTGCTTGACCAAAGTCTCTCTCCAGCTTCCTCTTATCTAAGACGGCTTTGCTTCTCAGAACAAGAAGGATGAACTTTCATAATTAGATCGTATAATGAAATGAACTTTTATAAGAATGAACAATATGATAAAATGGAATACTTAAATAACCATATAATGAATGAACAATATGGTTAAATTAAATGTTTTGATTAATCTGTGCTTAGATTAATAAGGATGAAATGAAATATATGACCCATATATTTAATCAGCGTACATGACTGGACAAGACACACTCACCATATCTCCATGACGTGAGTTAAAGTTAACTTTACTGAACATAGATATTTTTTTTGTCCACAAAATCAGCATCTTCATATCTAAGGGAGGTGTGTATCTGAGGTTTGTTGGCAAAACCCCTTTACAAGGCAAGTTCTGATTTGTCAGTAAACCAAAATATGGCCATTATTAAAACAGCATCACTCCCTGAGTGATTCAGTTGAGCCCAACTCTGACTGGCCATCGGAGGAAGCCTCTTCTCCCATCGCATCTTTTGACAAGCTGTCAAAACCTGTTGCACGCTACAGCTGACCACAAACGGTTGCTTCAGTATAAAGCTGAACCAGCTCCGACTCCTTAAGATTCCTCCATAGATGCAAATAATTACCGTAATTTCCAGACTATAGAGCGCACCTCAATATAAGCCGCACCAGTAGAAAAAAAGGTTTTCTACACATACACGCCACACTCAAATACAAGCCGCGGCACAGCAGCCACATGCAGGTCTCTAGCGCACAGCGCATGTATGGCCATACCATAAGATAATTAGTCAGAAAGACGCTGCACAGAGGTTTTTCGTTGTTGTTTTAATTCAACAAAACAAATTTTAAACACGGGTGAACTGCCTGCAAGTTTAGAAAAGAAAACAGCACTGATAGCATTCATATTTCTGGATGGTTATAAAATAAAAACAGAACTGACACGTTATTACCGGTAATTTGCATGCATGTTTAGAAGAAAAGAACAGTGCTGACACAGCATTAATAAGCCCTGGATGATTAGAAAATAAAAACTGCACACAAAATATGCCTGGTTAGTAAATGTTACGGCTGCCAGCCTGGCCAGTGGGATGCATGAGCCAAGATCAGCCAGCCCTGGTGATCAAGCCTGACACCGCCCCTCCTCCTCCTCTCGGCCAGGCTGCTGAGGAGCACAGCTGATCTGAATCCTGCTGATGACCAACACCTGGATAAAAAGGCTGTACCTTCAGCAGTCTGGGAGGCAGCAGTGCAGGGGTTCTGCTGTCCTCCAGGCCTCATGTTGTTTTCAACCCCTTTTGAGTAGATGAGTTTAACTTTTATAGTTTTAACTCCGGGTGATCCAGAGGGATTGTTTTAAAGGTTAACTCTGTGATACAATTTTATTGACTTTGGTTTTAAAACGCCTTCTGTTCTGGTAAAACTTTTAACATAAGTTTTAACCCGGTGTTTTATGTCAACAGATTGTTTTAGAACTTTTACCAACTTTGTGGATTTTGAAACACCTTTTGTTTTGGTGAAACTTTTAATAAGTTTTAACCAGGTGTTTTTAATGTTGGTAACTGCTCTTTTAATGTTAACCTTTTAGAGTTGTTTTTGTTTTGCATTATGTTAATAATGCTCACCATCTGTTTGCACTTGTTTTAGAACCTTTTATGACAAACCCATTTTAAATCCACTGTCACATTTCTTATGTTACCCCTTCCTTCACATTTTAACAACACATGTCGGGGACGTAACAGTAAATAAAACACACTTGACTACCAGAAGAAGTCATTCGCTCTCATCTTCCTCTTGCGCACTAAAGCCTTTAAAGTCCTCTTCTTCAGTGTCGGAGTTGAACAGCCTCAGAAGAGCTTCGTCACATACCTTTTCTGTGACGATGTCAGTGTCGCTGTCCGTGTTGCTGTCATCATCCCCGGGTGAAGCTGGCTTGAATGAGTTCTTCCCGCTGCCGTCTCCAGCGCCGAACCATGGATTCATTCATGCCAAGCTTACCAGCGGCAGCTCTGTTTCCCTCCTTTACTGCCAGATCGATGGCTTTCAACTTAAATGTGGCAATATATGAACTCATACGTGTAGTTACCATGATGAGGGGGTATGAATTTGAAAAAAAATTCTTCGTGGTGCCGGCTGCTTGCATGTGCTAAATTAAAATGAGCACTTTCTTCGATTTCCACTTTGGACTTCCACCTGTTTCACTTTCTGCTAAAGCGCCCCCTGGCAGGTGAAGGAAAATCTTCAGTAAAGTCGCACCACATTATAAGCCGCACGGTTCAAAGCGTGGGAAAAAAGTAGCGGCTTATAGTCCAGAAAATACGGTA